AGGCCTGAGCCTGGGGAAGGGGGGATAGGCAGAGGTGGCATGGACAGCCTGGACTAGCTCCGTGTTGAATGGGTGGTCGCTTGATTGACCATCACGTGGCTGGAGGGTTGTTACATAGCTTTGCTGAGTGAATACTGAGCTCTCTGGTTGGCAGAAGGATTTGTGTTTCTAATCTATTTCCTGGTCCCATAACCAGGCCGCTGGAGAAAGAAGCGCCTGACCTTCCGCATCTTGAACCTGCCTTCCACCCTCCCACCCCACACGGCCCGTGCAGCCCTGCTTCAAGCCTTCCAGTACTGGAGCAATGTGGCCCCCCTCACCTTCCGGGAGGTGAAGGCTGGCTGGGCTGACATCCGCCTCTCCTTTCATGGCCGCCAAAGCCCGTACTGCTCCAATACCTTTGATGGGCCTGGTAGGTACCAGCTCTTGGCTCTCACCAAACAGACCTCTGAGATTACCTCTGTCCCCTTGAGCCACGGACTCTGGAACCTTAATGTTTAGGCTGATCCCTATGCCCATCTACCCCTACACTCTCTAACCACCTTCTAACATTCCCTTGGGGAGCAGCTGATCACCTCCCTTGGACGCTGCTCAAGGCACAACCCAGAGAGGACTGGGCCAGAGAGGAGAGAGTGGTGGGGAGGTAAACGTAGCAGAGTGATGGGCATCCCTGTAAGAACTGGGTGGTGACGGGGGAATCCGAAAGAAGAGAGCGAGGTATCCAAGAGACAGTGACCAAAGATGGGGGATTTTATGGGAATGGAGTAATTGGAGTTTATTACAGGAGCTCTGACCTCTTTCCTATCCACCTTTTGCCTTTGTCCAGGGAGGGTCCTGGCGCATGCCGACATTCCAGAGCTGGGCAGCGTGCACTTTGATGAAGATGAGCACTGGACTGAGGGGACCTACAAGGGGGTGAACCTTCGCATCATTGCAGCCCACGAACTGGGCCATGCCCTGGGGCTTGGGCACTCCCGATATACCCAAGCCCTCATGGCCCCTGTCTACTCTGGCTACCGGCCCCACTTCAAGCTGCACCCAGATGATGTGGCAGGGATCCAGGCTCTCTATGGTAGTCTATTTTGCTCTCACATCTGTTCACAATCCCTTGAAAAGCCACGGTACCTGCAGTGCCTGATGGATGAAGTTGCCCCAGAGCAGGCTGGGCTGGGAGTGGTATCCAAATACCACTAAATAGATTAGAAACCTTCCCCTAGTGATCATGAGGGTCAATCTGATAAGCATCTTCAAGTCTGAAGAGGCAGTTCTAACCTCCATTGAGGGAAATGGCTTAGCTTATTTCTCTTCCTCCTGCCCAGTTGTTCAAACTTCTATTTTCAGGGACTGTTTTTCTGACACTTCCACATCTAATCTTGCTTTGGGGCCTGTCTCCCCTCATACCCATTCTTGGGGATGAAGAATGAATATTCCAACAAACCTCCTTCCTCCTACAAACCAAAACATGTCTCCTGCTAATATCAATATGATCTTGCCTCCCACCAAGGGAAACTCTCTAGGATTCCCTTTCCCCACCTCTATGGGGCCTCTGAGCCAAACTTACAGAGGAGTGAGGCGGTCAGGAGTTAGAGTTCTCTCTCTGAGCAGCATTACATTACCTTGCAGGCAAGAAGAACCCTGAGACAGAAGATGAGGAAGAAGTGACAGAACTCATTGTACCCCAAGTGCCCACAGAACCCAGTCCTATGCCAGATCCCTGCAGTGGTGAACTGGATGCCATAATGTTGGGTGAGGCCTTTCCCCTCCAGGCTATAGGCAAGCAGTGAGGACAGCCTGCTGACCTTGAGACCTGGACAAATGGGAATGACGTAGGGCCACAGCATGAGCAGGCAGGAGGTAGTGGGCATAGAAAGAGGCCTGTGGCACGGGGAGGGAGGCTTCAGAGCCAAATTAAAGATGGGCCAGGTAGGCATTTACCTCAGTTGCTGTAAGAGCCACATCTGGAAATACAGCAAGATGGAGAAAACTATAGTAACTGGATGTCTATTAGGGAAGGTATTATACCTGCATGGAAGAATAACTTGAAAGCCACTGGGGTGGAAAGTGAGGTCCCCCAAGGGGGAGCAGTTATCTGCAAGGTTTTAGTTTTGCCAAGCGGACCAGCCCTCAATGGCTCTGAACAACAAAGGAGAGGCTGAACTCTGGGTCCTCCTTCTGCCTCCTTGATCTTACTGAACTACAGTTGGATGAATTTTTGAGGAATCAGGCTGTGGGAGAAGGGAAAATTATCAGCCTGCCTGAGATGACCGTCTTTAATTTGTTGACACACCTGTGCTCTCAGGGCCCCGGGGGAAGACCTATGCCTTCAAGGGGAGCTACGTGTGGACCGTGACAGACTCCGGGCTGGGTCCCTTATTCCAAGCATCTGCTCTTTGGGAGGGACTCCCAGCAAACCTGGATGCTGCCGTCTACTCTCCTCGGACACAATGGATTTACTTCTTTAAGGGTAAAGGGTTTATGTGTCGTACCTGAGAGGGCCTACCATCAAAGAAGCCATAAAGGGGAGGGAGCGGTGAGAAGTTTCTGAGAGGGTGCAAAGGAGGAACCAAAACTACCAGCCGAAGACAGAGGTGACTTGTTCTTGTATGTTCTCAGGAGACAAGGTGTGGCGCTACGTCAATTTCAAGTTATCTCCTGGCTTCCCCAAGAAGCTGAATAGGATAGCACCCAACCTGGATGCAGCTCTCTATTGGCCAGTCAACCAAAAGGTGTTCCTCTTTAAGGTACATACTTCAAATCAAGGGCAAATCCCTTCTTAGGATGGGTGGGCTACTTCACACGGAGAAGCTAAGACTTGTTTCTTTCTTTTTTTTTTTTTAAATATATTTTATTGATTTTTTACAGAGAGGAAGGGAGAGAGATAGAGAGTTAGAAACATCGATGAGAGAGGAACATTGATCAGCTGCCTCCTGCACATCTCCTACTGGGGATATGCCCGCAACCAAGGTACATGCCCTTGACCGGACTCGAACCTGGGACCTTTCAGTCCGCAGGCTGACGCTCTATCCACTGAGCCAAACCGGTTTCGGCAAGACTTGTTTCTAAAGGGAGTTTTGCAGCTGCTGTGGACCGAGGGTAGGTATCTGGGGTCCCTAAGCTGTCTCCTCATGCTCCTCTTTTCCTTACCTACCCCATGCCTAGGGCTCCGGATACTGGCAGTGGGATGAGCTGGCCCGAACTGACTTCAGCCACTACCCCAAACCCATCAAGAGGTTGTTTACAGGAGTGCCAGACCAGCTCTCAGCTGCTATGAGTTGGCGGGATGGCCACGTCTACTTCTTCAAGGGCAAACAGTATTGGCAGCTCAACCGGCAGCTTCGAGTCGCGAAGGGCTATCCCAGAGATATCGCCCACAACTGGATGCACTGTCGTCCCCAAATCCCAGACACTGCCCCATCAGGTGGAGACACCACTCCCTTAGCCACAGGCCCTGACCACTCAGTCACAGGAACAACCTTGGGTACCACTTCCTTGCCCATAGATATCACCTTGAACTCTGACCACTCACCCAGAGACACAATCCCTGGCAACGTCATCCCCCCAGAGGCCTAAGACCTCAACCAAATATCTCCTCACTGGACTGCAGGTGCTGCCGCAGGGACATGGACCATAGACCTCAGACCTCTAAATGTCCCAGCTCTAGCCTCCATTCCCCTGTGCTCTGGGTCAGCCCCCAACTCTATCCATTTCTTCTCATCCTAGATAGCACTTCTAACTGCGTTACCTACTCTCTGGAAAACAGTGGTAGAGAGGAGGTGTCAACCAGGCCTGACAGGAGGCAACAGCTGGGAAGCCGAATACTTGGGTCCTGTTCTTCCTAGTTGAAGTGCAAAAAAACAGCAGCAGCACGGCCAGTAAAATGAGCAAGGGTTTTGGAATCCTTGAGAATAACATTGGCTTCTTTATGACTTGAGCAAGTTAATTAACCTTGTTGAGCTTGAGTTCCCATCTGCAAAATAAGGTTAATGCCAATCCTGCAGGGTTGTTGCATTAAATGAAATACTCTATGTGAAGTGCCTGACAGTGTCCGGCACATTTGTGCTTAATAAAGGCTAATTCCATGTTTTAAGAGAGGACTGAACATGACGCCCTCTGGCTGTGTGTGTGTGTGTGTGTGTGTGTGTAGCTCCTACAGTAGTCCAGTCTGCTAAGGGAATCCTTACCAGATTTTTAGTGGACAGAGAACTTGTCAGTATGGCTAACTCTTTGTTTTGGGATGCAAAGAAACAAAAGAGCAGCAACAACAGAGGCCAGACTCCCTGATTCAGTGTTTAATTAATGCCACTTTATTCACATGTTCTTCCTCCCTCTCATCACAGCCTTGCCGCCTAGGGGAGGGATATATCTTCCTTCATGCCGTCTGGGGAATCAGGGAACTGACTTGAGGGGGAGAGTCACAGTGGGGAGAGTTAGAATGGACTAGTGGCTGGGACAAAGTTCTGGTTAAGGAAGAAATGAGCATCACCGACAAAGAAAGGCAGAGAAGGCACTTGTCTCCCATACAGCCCCGAAGACCAGGCTCCTTTGGGCAAAGGGCAACCCTCCGGCATGTAGGCCAAGGCTCCCTCCTTGGAGCAAGAAGCCAGCTTTTGGGGGAGGCGGGGGCTGAGCCAGGCACTGCCCATGTCCTTCCCCACATCAAGAAGAGAAAGGGAAGCACCATGGAGGACAATACCCCCATCTGAGGTAGGAGAAGGGGGCTGAGCCTATGAGGCCTGGGGGGAAAGGCTAATCGGGAACCCAACTACCCCCTAATGAGGAGCCTGGGGATTGGGGGATCCTGCAGCTCCTCTGTGCCCTTCTCCCCATCAAAAAGCTATCAAGTGCCCAGCCAGTGTGGCTCTGTGGTTAAGCATCAACCTATGAACCAAGAGGTTGCTGGTTTGATTTCAGGTCAGGGCACATGCCCCAACTGTGGGCTTGATTCCGAGTAGGGAGTGTGCAGAAGGCAGCCGATTAATGCTTCTCTCTCATTGATGTTTCTATCTCACCATCCCTTCTCCATTCCTCTCTCTCTAAAAATCAATAAAAACACATTAAAAAAAAAAGCTATCAAGTGCTTTAGGAGGCTTCCTGATTTTCTACAGTTCCTACAGAAACAAAATCCCTTATTTTACCATTTTGTGGCACACTGAGGCCAGTATAGAAAAGGCTATCTGGGTAAGCACCCGCCCCCCTTGATTTGGAGGGAATTAGGGAGTCGGTTACTTTAGGGAGCAGGGCACCTCTATTATTGGACAGACGTAGCTACTCATACGTCCATTCCTCTCCCCTCCCCAAGATTCCTCTGTATCTGTCTCTGAAACCTATCCCTACAGGTCTGGTCTAGGTTGGAGCACAGATTCCATCCCCAGGTCTAGAGGTGGGGAAGTCTGTGTGTGAGTCCTGTGGGCTCAGGTCCTGCCCACCTAGTGCTCCCAGGCCCTTGCTAGCGGTATGGGGGTATCAGTGGAGGTTTAGGGTCAGGTCTGGGTGGAACCAGAAGGTGTGGTGAGGGGTATAGTGGAACCATAGTCGGAATCCAGGTCCAGGATGGTGTGGGGGGCTGTGGCCTGGCAGCCTGGTCCCAGTTGGCGATCTCGAAGGCTCTGGAGATAACTCTGGAGGGGCACCGGGCAGAGAGGACAGAAGGAAGGGCCTGGGTCAGTCCCCGTCCCACCCTGACTATCCCCATGTGCCCTCTGCCCCATCTCCCAGGATGCCCCTCCCCACCACTCACTGGAGCCAGACTGTCAGCAGGACTCCGGGCGTTGGTGGGGAGCTGCCTCCGGTAGCTGCCCTCACAGAGCCCCACCCCATGGGAGGTCCGGTGCCACTTGGCCTCTTGCTGACGGATCCGAAGAAGTTGGAGATGCCTTCGCTGGTGGCTCAAGACCACTGCTTGGGAGGGGGCGATACAGACTGAGGGAGGCCTCTTTAGACCCCAAATCCCACCCCCAAACACACTCACACTCTAGAGAAATCCATTTGATCTTGTTCTGGCTCTATCAAACCTTGTCTCCCCCTCATCCCCTCCTTCCCCCAGTTCTTCTAAAAGAAACCCTTCTTTGGAGTCTTCCTACTCTCTCTTCCTGGACTTTCCTGAGATCTTCATTATCTTCCATAAACTGTCTCCAATAAATAACTTTCCCATTCCCCCTGACAATTTTTCTTCTCATTCTTACCCAGACTTTTGGCTCCTCCAATTCTAACTTCCTTTCAATGTCCTGCCCCATTCTCCTCTCTCCTCTCAAGTGTATTTCCCCCCTTCCCCTCCTCAAGTCTGGGACTTGGGGACATGAGAAGGCACAGGCTGGCTGCTTCTGTACCACGGCACTAACTCACCATTGGCGTGGCCTCCATGTTCCTCATCCATGAGCTTCCACTGGGCCAGGGCCCCAAGGGCCCCCAGGGCCGGCCAAGTCCCCAGCAAGACCCAGCTATACCAGCAGAGAGGAGGCAAGGCCGGAAGTGCCTGCAAGCGTTGGCCCAGCCGACTGCCCAGTGCCAGCCCTTCCAGGAAATAGTCAGCACAGGCCACCAGCACCGCAGCACCCAGCAGGGCTGTGCCCAGAATGGTGAATGGACGTGGCCACCGCAGCGTGAGCAGGGCTCCCAGCAGTGCCAGCCCCACTAGCCCCCCAGCCGGTACCCAGGCTGAAGGTGGCTGGTAGATGGGTTCGGTGCCCAGCAGGGCCCCGGCACCCAGGGTTAGGCCTAGCAGGAGACCAGTCAGGAAGAGCCCAACACTGCGAACCAGCATGGTGACCAGGCCGCAGAGGAGTCCGATGCCCAGCGCAATGCCCGCGCTCACCTCCAGGCTCAGCTGTGTCTCTAGCACTCGCTCCTTGTGGCATAGCAGAAAGATCACCAGAGCTCCTGATAGCAGGCCGGAGAGAAACATCACTGCCTTGAAGCAGCGGTAGCCTGGGAAGGGAGGCAGGAGGCACTGAGGGGTAGGAAGGGCTGAGGGGAGTCCACAGGGATGACTCTGCTGGTGAGCAGAAGAGCAGAAGACAGGAGCAGCACACCCAGGGATCTCAAGGCAAGAGGCAGAAAGGAATAGTATCAGGGAGGGCAGAAACTTTTCAGAAACTGTGAGGGGATGGGAGGGAAAGAAGGAGATAAGATGGATGCATCGAGGGGAGTAAGTATAGAAAAAAGGTCTAGTCCTTCCAGGAATGGTAGATGGGAAGAAATCAGCCTAGGCTGATTCAGGTTACTGGGGAAGGGTGAAGAAGCCTGAAGCATGGATGATAATTTGGGAATGGAGTTTTGAGGTAGAAGGCACGGGGAAGGCAAGCGAGAGTGCCAGGGGTCACAGCTGGAGGGCATGGGGGGGGGGTAAATAAGAAGAGCTGGCAAGAGCAGCATGGGCCACACTGAAGGTAGGCTTTCCCTGATAGAGTACTAGAGGTAGCCCAGGAGCAAAGGAGAAAGTTAACAGCATCCTTGAGGGTGACAGTCTTGGGCAGCTGCCCCCCAGAACCTTGGCTCTGCCCTCACCGAAGCAGCAGTAGATGATTCCAAAGCAGCAGCAAAGAGCACACACCAGGGCAGGTGCCAGTTCAGGATTGTCCTGGGGTTCCAAGACACATCTTGGGTCTGGAGGCTCTGGGAGTTGTTGATTAAAGGGCCTGGGGTCAGAGGTCATGGCCAGGGGCAGCAAAGCTTCCTCCATGGCAGGAAGAGAAGGTGGTCACAGAGGGGGAGGTCAATGTCTGCTTCTCTCATCCATCCATGAATGTCTTGAGGGGCTTGGGAAACCTGCAAGGAAGTAGGGGGCAGCAACTCAGGTGCCCATGAATTTTGAGGACTTTGTACCTCTATTTCATTTGAAGGAAGCCCAATTTCAGGGGGGAGCATGGCCCCACTGGGGTAACTAAAGAAAACTTACGGGATTGGGTCAAGGGGAGCCAGCTGTCTCTTTACCACCCTCTGCAACAAGGACACTAACGAAAACGTACATGAAAATCTTATAAGGGGATGAACCTTTTTTTTGCCCCCTAACTTTCCAGGGTGGGACGGGAGGAGTAGGAAGTCCTAAGATCTGAGGAGTTCAGGGGCACTAATAGGACTACAGCAACCTGTTCCAGCTGCAAAAAGAAAGCTTGCCCCCACCTGCAGCTGGGACTCAATATTACCACACTGGACTAGGAAGGGTGGGGTTCATAAAAGGGGGAGAAGGAGCAGAAAGAGGAGAGAAGGGTGGGGTCTCTGGACGGCTGCTCCAACCCCAGGGGGGAGGGGGGAGTGGCAGGAACCAAAAGAGTTTGGGGCAAGGAATCCACATTTGCCACGGTTTCAAGCCTCTGCTTGGTGGGAGATGGAGCTGTTGGGGGAGGGGCCTCCGGCCAGTCCAGCCCCAAGGACCCCCATGGAATAAGCAGGCACCTGGCCCACAGATCGGTTCTGGTAGCCTCCTGCTCCTCCCCTCAGGGCACTGGGACTTGTCCTATCCCTCCCTTCCCCCAGGGGATTGGGGGCTGACAGTGGGACTTGAACTCGGTTCCTGCGAGGAGAACACCAAGGAGGGGCTGGCATGGGGGGCACTATGGGAGGGGGGTAGGGTGGATGCAGCCACATCCCCCCAGCTGTCTTCTTCTGGACATCACGGTCCCAACAGGCTGGAGGGTTGGTTTGGGGAATCCCTGGGGTTCCTCTCCTCAATTCTCTTGGAAGCCTAGGGACCCCAAACAAGGAGAGGTTTGGGAGGGGGTGTTCACTACTCACCACCCTGCCAGGCTGAGGAGAGGAAGGGGGTAGAAGTGCTTCCCTAGACCCCCAGCTGCATCCCTGCCCGGAGGTCCTAGGTGTCCGGGCGGCTGTCGGGCGTCCGTACCCGCAAGGCCACTCAGTTCGTTGCCCCCTAAACTCTTGCAAGTCGTAGCCCAAGCCCCGTGAACTAAAAGCAACCAGCTTGGGGGGGTGGGGGTGGAGGAAGGGGACAGGGCGGGGGTGACATCACGGGGCGGGCCCCTCCAACTCTTCCCCTTGTGTGTGGGGGGAACACAGTTTGCCTACTACTTGAGGCTGGGAGCGGAGACCCCCCCACCCACCATAGCAGGGAAGGGTCCTGGGTGCACAAGAGGTTTGCGGAAAAGTCTCTGAATACTTGGGCGATGACTCGACAATGGGAAGCTTTCAGAGCCCCAGGTGGGGTCTCGGCGCCCCCCTCGCTTTGCCTTGGTTTCTCCCACTTCCCAGAGAATTGGAGTATTGTCTTCTGGAGGACCGGGTGGTCGGGACTGGGGATTTGGGGCCGAGGCTCTTGCTGCTCTGGGGCCGCCGGCGAGGGGTGCATGGGTGGCCGAGCTTGCGGAGTAAGGCGCAGTCTGGAAGGAGGGCTAACGAGAGAGGCGTGTGCAAAGGAAGGGACCGACAGAGAGGGGACCCGAGCCGGGTCTGCGTGGGGGAGGGGTCGCTGTCTGCGTCCGCCGAACGGCTCGGTATGCAAATGAGATGCAAAGCAGCCTGCGGCGGAGTGCACGGTTTTTGGCTCTCCGCTCAGGTCCTGCTACGCGCGTGGTCTCCGGGCCCCGCTCCGTGAGGGGGCCTGGAGCTGCGTCCAGAGGGGCGGGTCCGGGCCGTGGTAGCTGCAGTTATATGGGGCGGTTCGCCAGCTGGGTCAGAAGCCGGGGAGGCCGAGGGTTGCTGGGAAAGAAAGGGCAGTGCTAGGGGGACCAGGGCGGGGGCTGGCCCGGGGTGTCTTCTCTTGGAGAGAACATGATACAAAAGAGCCTCTGTCCTCGGCCAGCAAGGAAGGGGTCAGGGCGGTGGCCCCTCTATGCTCCCTAGTTTTGTCTGCAAGGGAAACAAACTATGGCTCAGAGGCTGTCCTCTATCTCCCAGTCTCGGAAAAGCCCACAAATCCAGCCAGAGGGATCCTAAGAATCTGTCCCCAGACCGCAGGCGCTGCTGCAGCACCCACTTGCTTCGCTTCCAGGGGTGCAACTTGCAGGGATTCCACTTCAGCACGCGGAGGGCCGCAGCAGAGGGCCCTTTAAGGGGCGGTACCCGCGCCCCCCCAGGACCGCCTCCTGATTTGACACACTGCTCGCTAGACTGGCTCGCGCTTCAGCCAACCGCTTTTTCTTTTCCTTCTTGTCGCTTCCGTGGTGACCCCGGAAGTGAAAATAGGCGTAGGTCGGCGTTTGCGGCGGGGACGGAAGGCGGAAGCAGAGCTTGAGCGGGAGGCGGAGCCGGGGGAGCCGCTCTTAGCTCCCCTGGCTCTGGGCCCAGCAGCTCGAGGGGGAGGAGTTACCGCCGCTCTTCGGTACGTTACCTTCTCCCCGTCTGCCCAGGCTCAGGGTTCCCTGGTTGTCTGTCTTAGGGGCAACCCCAGGCTCCGCCTCCAGGTTTTCTTTAAGGGCCGCAGGGTCCCCACCCTTTTCAGGCAGCCTACAGCCCTCCTTTCCGATCGTCTTTCCGTTTTTCCCTAGTGATCCCAGGACCACACCCTTTGCAGTACCTCCCTCTTTTCCGGATTCAGAGCTGTATCTTTCGGGGGAGAGAAGAAAAACTTAGGTGGAGTTGGAGGAGGGGGCAGGGAGTGGTGTTGTGGTTAAAGTGGTATTGGCTTATTGCTAGAGGTAATAAATGCCCCCAAAGAACTTGGGAAGCAAGGGAGGTGGATGCATTCTATATACTATGTATATTCTCAATTTAACCCCTTTCTTGGACCTATCCTTGACCCAACTTGATACTTTGTTACAGGCATTAGAACTTACCATGATGGCTGTGACCTAAAATCTTCAGGAAGCCAGGGGGTCATGGCCCAGAAGCACCCCGGAGAAAGACAGTCGTGTGGAGCCCACCACAGTGGTGGTGCCTCCCTCGGGACTTTAGGACCCTCTCTGGACCCTGAAATACTTTCATTCTCAGGACTCAGGGACTCAGCGAGGCCTGCTCCAAATGGTACCCGCTGCCTCACAAAGCACTCTAGTCCTAAGTACACGCAGCCCCCAAACCCAGCCCACTGGTCGGATCCAAGCCATGGCCCCCCCAGGGGTCCAGGACCCCCTAGAAATGGAGAGGACCCTGATCAGAGTGAGGCATCTTCAGAAGAAGAGTCAGGAGTGGATCAGGAACTCTCAAGAGAGAATGAGGCTGGGCACCCGGAGGATGAAAACCCTTCTTTTCTTTCCATTCCATCTGCTTGCAACTGCCAGGGAACCCCTGGAATCCCTGAAGAGCCTTACTCTGGGGGAGGAGATAACTCTTCTAGCAACTTTTGCCACCATTGTATGTCTCCAGCTTTAGGAGAACATGAAGAGTTGGAAGAGGAATATGATGATGAGGAACCCAAGTTCCCCAGTGATTTTTCTCGTGTGCCCAGTGGAAAGAAACCTCCACCCCGGAGACAGCGGCACCGTGTTGCAGCCAAGGACGATACTTGGGAGGGTGGACGCAGGGATCCCAGGTCCCCTGGTCGACATCGGCTGGGCCGGAAACGAAGTCAAGCAGATAAGCGCAGAGGCTTGGGATTATGGGGAGCAGAAGAACTGTGTCAGCTTGGACAAGCAGGTTTCTGGTGGCTGATCGAACTGCTGGTATTGGTGGGAGAGTATGTGGAAACTTGTGGCCATCTCATCTATGCATGCAGGCAGCTGAAAGGCAGTGATTTGGACCTTTTTCGAGTCTGGGCAGGAGTCTGGGCAGGGCGACTGGGTGGCTGGGCCCAGGTAATGTTCCAGTTTCTGAACCAGGGGTTTTGCTATGGGGCAGGGCTATTCACCCGTTTTCTTAGGCTACTGGGTGCTTTGCTGCTTCTGGCTCTGGCCCTCTTGTTGGGCTGTCTGCAGGTGGCCTGGCAGTTTCTTGTGAGACTGGGTGACAGGTTAGGCTGGAGGGCTAAAGCCACCTGGCTCTTCTCTTGGCTGGATTCTCCCACCTTACAGCGTTGTCTGATTGTGCTGAGAGAGAGCAGGCCATGGCAGCAGATGGTGAGAATGGTTCAGTGGGGTTGGCTGGAGTTGCCTTGGGTCAAACAGAGGACTAACAGACAAGAGAATGCACCTGTAGCTAGTGGTCGCTATTACCAGCCTGAAGAGGAAGTGACTCGACTCTTGACCATGGCTGGGGTTCCTGAAGATGAGCTAAACCCTTTCCACGTCTTGGGGGTTGAAGCCACAGCATCAGATGTTGAAATGAAGAAGGCCTATAGGCAGCCCCCCCCCCCCCCCCCCCCCCGTTTCCTATCCCTCTTGTGCCTATATTTTATTTCCTAATTTTAGGGAGAGTAGAATAAAGGGAAGGCAGAGAAGAAAATCAACTTTAAGCTGAAGAGTAACTTTAATTCTTAGAAAAGAGTCATAAAACTTTTTTATTTTTAAATATGTTTTTATTGATTTCAGATAGAGGGAGAGAGCTATAGAAACCTCAGTGATGAGATAGAATCATCAATCGGCTGCCTCCTGCATGCCCCCAACTGGGGGTCGAGCCCACAACCCAGGCATGTGCCCTGACTGGAATCAAACTGTGATCTCCTGGTTCATAGGTCGATGATCAACCCCTGAGCCACACCAGCTGGGTGAGATTCTTTTTCTTAATGAAAAGAAATGAATTGGTATATCAGGTAATGTTGGACTCACTCACTTTGAAATGTTGAGTTGAAGTCCCTCTGCTAGGGTGGAGAAGAGGTCTATTCAGAAAACTTGTCAGTTCCTCTCCCTGAACAAATGAGGGGTGTTTCTGAATATAGGGAAATTCAACCATCTGTCCCAGAATGGCAAGTGTGGACCTAGTATGGGACAGTTCAGGGAGTGCTTGTGAGTGATTATTCCAGGACCAGGTGAAAGAAAAGCTTTTTCAAGACCAGCAACCCAGCCTGACCGGCGTGGCTGTGATTGAGCGTCGCCTATGAACCAGGAGGTCACGGTTCGATTCCCGGTCAGGGCACTTGCCTGGGTTGCGGGCTTGATCCCCAGTGTGGGGCATGCAGGAGGCAGCTGATCCATGATTCTCTCTCATCATTGATGTTTCTGTGTCTTCCCCTCCCTTCCTTCCTGAAATCAATAAAAATATCTTTTAAAAAAAGACCAGCAACCCAGAGTGGGAAAGGGAAGGAAAATGGAATAAAAATCAGAAATATGTGCAAATATGTGTCATATATGAAAATACGGCCCTAGCTGGTTTGGCTCAGTGGATAGAGCATTGGCCTGCGGACTGAAGGATCCCAGGTTTGATTTCAGTCAAGGGCATGTACCTTGGTTGCGGGCACATCCCCAGTAGCGGGTGTGCAGGAGGCAGCTTATCAATGTATCTATCTGTCTTCCTTCCTCTCTGTAAAAAATCAATAAAATATATTTTAAAAATAAATAAAAAAAGAAAAGAAAATATGGTTGCTTTTATTAATAAAAAGTGAGTGGGAGTTGTGATACACCACATGCTTGAGGGAAATGATTTAATACAAGTATGCAATCAAATTGCTATTAGAAGTTAATATTAGATTTCTATTTTTAGATGATTCTATTTCTGTACAAGTGAAACTATATTATGAATATAAATAATGTTGTGTAAATTGCACAGGTGGCCTGTTTGACTGAATGTATGGAACTAGATTGGTACAGTATCACAGTGTGCAGATTACTTCAACAGTTGCATGACACCAAAGGAATGGGCAACCATGGTTTCCATTAACCATTCAAGGCACAATAAAGTACCAGTCCTGCAACTTACAAGAGGACTAAATTAATTTGGTGGGAAATGCATGTCCCTCAGTTGATAGCCTGGGATATTCTTAGAGTGGGGAACAAGTGCTTACACTCAAATAGTTACTAATAGTAGAGCTCTTTTCTCACCTTCATGTCTTTTTTTAGCAGATATCCTCATTTGTGGAATATCAATCTCCCAAAAAAATATCATTTTCAACTTACTTCTTTGGAGTAGAGATGATGTTAAGTTACCCAGACCTCAATACCCTGCCTCACACCCCAGGAATCCCCCTTGTTCTCGGTCAGTGTGTCAGTGAGGTTCTTTTATAGAATCTCTCACTGCCCTTATTAGGCCCTAGAGCAGTGGTTCTCAACCTTCTGGCCCTTTAAATACAGTTCCTCATGTTGTGACCCAACCATAAAATTATTTTCATTGCTACTTCATAACTGTAATGTTGCTACTGTTATGAATCGTAATGTAAGTATCTGATATGCAGGATGGTCTTAGGCGACCCCTGTGAAAGGGTCGTTCGACCACCAAAGGGGTCGCAACCCCCAGGATGAGAACCGCTGCCCTAGAGTGACCATGATTACAAGGCTGTTCAGTAAGCCTGGGAATATGGGAGATTTAACAGCATTCTGCTTATTTGGCATCAGTCAAGAGACCAGCTTTATCTCTGTATTTTGGAGGGATGAGGATGGGAATAATAAGCAGTAGGAAGAGAAGTTTTTGTTTGTCTTGGAGAAAGGTTGAAAAGGGAATAAAAAGCCTGTATCATAATATGCTATTTCATTTCTGGGACAGAAAGGCAAACTATTGTAGGAAGTTTTGAGTAGATATGAGAATTTTCTAGTTAGAAAAGTGAGAATGTAACATCTTTGGAACTCTTATTTTATAACTGATAATAAAGTTAAAATGTGAGGAATTAGTATATATGTGCCAGGTCAGGTGACCAACCATCCCTGTTTGCCTGAGATTGAGGGCTTTCCTGAGACATGAACTTCACTGCTAAAACTGGAACAATCCCAGGTGCATTGGGATGGTGGATCACCCTAGTACAGATTCTGTGATATATACTTCACATGTATTCTCATTTAATACTCCCAACAATCTATGATAGATAAAATATTCTAGGTCATGTAGCTAATAGTGACAGAGCTGTGACTTGAACAGAGATCTCTCTGCAGAGCCAGAGCAATTAATTATTAAGCTATATTGAGAGGAGAAAATGGCGGCCAAATAGGCAGACGTGTCCTGTGCTTGTCTTGGAGCACACAGTGGTTTCAACCTTGGCTGCACATTAGAATCGCCTGGGAATCTTTTTAAAATCCTGATTTCTGGGCCTCATCCTCCGGAAATTCTGTTTCTTTGTTACTAATGTTGTGGCCCCACCCCATAACAAAGAAACAGAATTTCCGGAGGGCGAGGCCCAGAAATCAGGATTTTAAAAAGATTCCCAGGTGATTCTAATGTGCAGCCAAGGTTGAGAACCACTGACATGGAAGAAGCAACTAGCGGAGCGCGGTGGTGCGCGCCTGTAGTCCCAGCTACTGGAGAGGCTGAGGCTGGAGGATCGCTTGAGCCCAGGAGTTCTGGGCTGTAGTGCGCTATGCCGATCGGGTGTCCGCACTAAGTTCGGCATCAATATGGTGACCTCCTGGGAGCGGGGGGCCACCAGGTTGCCTAAGGAGGGGTGAACCGACCCAGGTCGGAGACGGAGCGGGTCAAAGTTCCTGTGCTGATCAGTAGTGAGATCGCGCCTCTGAATAGCCACTGCACTCCAGCCTGGGCAACATAGCGAGACCCCGTCTCTAAAAAAAAAAAAAAAAAGAAGAAGAAGCAACTAAATTGGAGAGCCAGAATTGGTGAATTAGACACAGCTGATGAGACAGCAGCCAAGAGGGGCAGAGGACGCCTGAAGAACTGTAGGAACAGGGATCTGGGCTGGAGAGAGACATGCGACCACCAGGCTGAGGGTCAGGAGGAAGCTGCACTGCACCAAGGCCATGTCCCTTGGGGACAGGCGTAACATCCGACTGTGGAAAGAAGTCCACAGGGCTGCTGGCGGTTGGGGAATCGAGATCTAAGTCCACGGCTGAGAGAGGCTGCACCCAGAAAGGTGGCATGAAGAGCTGCCCAAGCAGCGTGGTGCCGGGGATGGGGGGAGGGTAGAGAAACTCACAGCTCTTGAATGTTTTGCCTTTGTTTGTCTTCACTAAAACCAGTTCATAGGACCTTTCAATTACAAACAGTCACCTGAGGCTTCGGTGCAGGTAGAGGTGATTTGTGGGGCCTGGGGAGAGGCTGTGGAGGAAAGCAGAGCAGGAGAGGTGACCAGGAATCCGGCACTGAGACATTTGTGACCTTCCAAACCATTTTTCTCCTGAAGAGCCAGCCCCTGCCAGCAGCCTCAAGACAGCTAATAATGCCACACCTGGCCTACATCTTGAGTTTTCCCAAGGAAACAAAGACTCTGAATAGCCCCAAAGAGCCCTCAGGGACTGGGTTGAAGAGGGGCCAATCAGTTCCGGAAAGCAATACAGCATCACCCCCACTTAAAGCCTATCAGAAACAGGAACAAGACAGGGATGCCCACTTTCATCACTCCTGTTCAACATAGTACTGGAAGTGCTACCCATAGCGATCAGACAAGAAGAAGAAATAAAAGGCATCCAAATTGGAAAAGAAGAAGTAAAACTGTCATTATTTGCAGATGATATAATATTACACATAGAAAACCCTAAAGACTCCATCAAAAAACTACTAGACTTAATAAATGAATTTGGCAGTGTAGCAGGATACAAAATTAACATCCAGAAATCTATGGGTTTTTTTATACACCAATAATGAACTCACAGAAAGAGAAACAAACGAAAAGAAATCCCATTTACCATTGCAACAAAAAAATTAAGATACCTAGGAATAAACTTACCTAAGGAGTTAAAAGACCTGTACTCGGAAAACTACAGGACATTGAAAAAGATAGAGGAAGATATAAACAAATGGAGGAATATACCGTGTTCATGGATTGGTAGAATCAACATCATTAAAATGTCCATACTACCCAAAGCAATCTATAGATTCAATGCAATCCCCATTAACATACCAATTTTTCACAGACCTGGAACAAACTCTCCAAAAATTCATCTGGAATAAAAAAAGACCCCGAATAGCTGCAGCAATCCTGAGAAAGAATAACAAAGTTGGAGGGATCACAATACCAGATATCAAGCTATATTTCAAAGCCACTGTTCTCATAACTGCCTGGTACTGACACAAGAACAGACATATAGACCAATGGAACAGAACAGAGAACCCAGAAATCGACCTAAGCCGTTATGCTCAATATTTGACAAAGGAGGCAAGAGCATACATTGGATTCAAGGCACTCTCTTTAATAAATGGTGCTGGGAAATTTGGACAGATACATGCAAAAAAAATGAAACAAGACACCAACTTATACCATACACAAAAATAAACTCAAAGTGGACAAAGGACCTAAAGGTAAGTGTGGTGGGCTGTTTCTGTTTCCCGTGACCCGCACGGGAAAACAACAGGTTCTTGAGCGGAGGAGCTGGGGATTAAGAAATTAAAGAAAGACCAAGATGCAGAAATAGATTTTAAGCTGGGGCCAGGTGGGCGCCATCCTCTATGATGGAGAGGCGGCAAAGCGGCCTGAGACACACAGCAGGTTTATTTTAAAGGCCTAGATTTACATATCTAGTTCCGCCCCTGCCTGATTAACATGTCCAGCCTTATTGGGGAAGCATGTTCCCAGGGCGTGGCTCTGCCTACGCTCTGAGTTCAGCTGACAATAATTATAAGAAAATGCCTAGGTGCCTCCCAGGCGGCCCTCTACAGGTAAGACAGGAAAACATAAAAATCTTAGAAGAATCCATAGGCAGCAAAATATCAGAAATATGTTGTAGCAATATCTGCCGATACAATTCCTAGGACAATGGAAACTGAAGATAAATGGAAACTGAAGATAAACTACCTCAAAATAAAAAGCTTCTGCACAGCAAAAGAAACCAACAAAACAAGAGCGCCCACTGTATGGGAGAACATATTTGCCAATATTACATCAATAAGGTTTTAATCTCTAAAAATTATAAGGAACTCATACAACTTAATAAAAGGAAGATAATCCAATAAAAGAAAGGGCAAAGATCCTAAATCAAGCCTGTCAAACCTGCAGCCCACAGGCTGCATGCGGCCCAGCCAATATAATGGTATGTAAGAAACATTTTAATATAAATTTTGTGACTTAATTTTTACAATATCCCATTATACATAATTATTAATAATGAACTACAATGTTTGCTAATGACTGATTATTATAATCGTGTTGCATTCATTTCCCTTCCACCCAGGCACCCCATTTCTCTCCACTAATATTAGCAGCGAATATTTTAGCAGCCAATTGCCACATCATTAGTCTTGTACTGACTTGTTTGGTGTGCGCAACAGGAAATATTTCGCTTTCAGAGAACAAGAAAAATGGGTTTGGTTGCGTTACACTTATTAATTTGTGCAGTTATTCAATGTCTGATAAATTAATGTTCAAGAAAAAATATTAATTTTTATTAAAATGTTCTATTTTTATGTTAACGATTACCCATTTATTTCAGCCCTTTGTATTCACCATGTTTCTATGAAAATTGAAGCTTCTGGTTGTTTTTTTGCGGCCCACATAAACTTAAACCTTGTTTATTTGGCCCGTGTTAGCCTTTGAGTTTGACATGCTTGTCCTAAATAGACATTTTTCTAAAGTGCACGTACAGAAGGCCAAGAGACATATGAAAACATGCTCAAAGTCACTAATCATCTGAGAGATGCAAGTCAAAACGACAATGAGGTACCATCTCACACCTGTCAGAATAGCTATCCTCAACAAATCAACGAACAAGTGCTGGCGAGGATGTAGAGAAAAAGGAACCCTTGCGCACTGCTGGTGGGAATGCAGACTGTGCAGCCACTGTGGAAAACAGTGTGGATTTTCCTCAAAAAATTAAAAATGGAACCCCCTTTTGATGTAATCCCACCACTCCTAGGAATATATCCCAAAAACACCAATCAGAAAGGATATATGCACCCCTATGTTCATAGCAGCACAATTTACAATAGCTAAGATTTGGAAACAGCCTAAGTGCTCATCAGCAGATGAGTGGACTAAAAAACTGTGGTACATCTACACAATGGAATTATCACACTGCAGTAAAAAAGAAAGAACTCTTAACCATTTGCAACAGGATGAATGGACCTAGAGAGCATTATGCTAAGTGAAATAAGCCAGTCGGAGAAAGATAAATATCACATGATCTCACTCATTTGTGGAATATAATGGACAACATAAACTGATGAACAAAAATAGATGCAGTCACAGAAGCATCGAACAGACTGTCAAACCTCAGAGGGAAGGTAGGGGAGGATGGGTAAGAGATCAACCAAAGGACTTATATGCATGCGTATAAGCATAACCAATGGACACAGACAGTAGCGGGGTGAGGTTATGGGTTGGGGGGTGGGAGTGGCTGGGGAGAGGTCAATGGGGGAAAAAGGAGACATATGTAATATATTAAACAATAAAGAATTCTTTTTTTTTTTAAAAAAAAGCTATATTGACTCTCCAAAAGGGAGTGAAAAAGAACCATTTGACATGATTTGTGTGTGTGTGTTTTTTAATAGTTTATTGACTCTTTTTAGAGAGGAAGGGAGAGAGCAAGAAACATCAATGTGACAGCTAACATTGATCAGCTGCTTCCTGCATGCTGCCTACTGGGTATTGAGCCCACAACCCTGGCATCTGCCCTTGACCAGAAATTGAATCAGCAACCTTTTGGTGCATGGGATGAAACCCAACCACACTGGCCAGGGCTATCACTTAACATAAGGTTTTGACCCAAGATGGGGAGAGGTTTGGAATGGATTTGTGATGAATTCTTTCTTTGTTTTGGTAGGTTCATCCTGACAAAAATCATCATCCCCGGGCTGAGGAGGCCTTCAAGGTTTTGCGGGCAGCTTGGGACATTGTCAGCAATCCTGAAAGGCGGAAGGAATACGAGATGTAAGTTGGAGATAGGAAATTGTCAGGTGGCGTAAATGAATAATCTTCAATAGCAGAGGTCCCTAGAGTTGCAGGTGAATGCCCTCTAAGGTGGAGAAAATTGCTTGTCTTTCTAGTAGGCAAAAGGCCTTTAAGAGGCCAGCAGATCTGTCTCCTTTTATTCCTTGTTCAGTACCCTCTGATTTATAAAGCCTTTCTTCTCTTAGGAAACGAATGGCAGAGAATGAGCTGAGCCGGTCAGTGAATGAGTTTCTGTCCAAGCTGCAGGATGACCTCAAAGAGGCAATGAATACTATGATGTGCAGTCGATGCCAGGGAAAGCACAGGTATGAAATAGGAATGTAACAGCCACAGCTTAGGGCAGTGATGGTGAACCTTTTGAGCTCGGCGTGTCAGCATTTTGAAAAACCCTAACTTAACTCTGGTGCCATGTCACATATAGAAATTTTTTGATATTTGCAACCACAGTAAAACAAAGATTTATATTTTTGATATTTATTTTATATATTTAAATGCCATTTAACAAAGAAAAATCAACCAAAAAAATGAGTTTGCGTGTCACCTCTGACACGCGTGTCATAGGTTCGCCATCACTGGCTTAGGGGTTAGGTAGCCAAAGACCTTCTTTGTATTATTGGTAGTTGTGGGATAGAAATGGTGAGTAAAAGAACTCTTGGGTTTCCACTTCTGTCATATTGTAAAGAGATTGCGGATTCTAATTAGTAAGAAAAAAAAAAAAGACAGTCCAGTGGGTGTGGCTCAGTGCTTGAGCATTGACCTATGAACCAGGAGGTCATGGTTCGATTCCTGGTCAGGGCACATGCCTGGGTTGCAGGCTTGATCCTGTATGGGGCGTGCAGGAGGCAGCCTATTATTGATTCTTTCTCATCAGTGATGTTTCTCTCTCTCTCCCCCTCTCCCTTCCTCTCTGAAATCAATAAAAGGATATATTTTTTAAAAAGACATTTTTTACCTTTAAGATAGAAGATTGAGAGAAGGGTGTGCATAGGTATCCTATCTAATAAAAGAGAAACATGGTAATTAGCTGTACCTCCGCTACCCTTCCCATTGGCTAATCAGTGAGATATGCAAATTAACTGCCAGCCAAGATGGCGGCCGGCAGCCAGGCAGCTGACGTGAACAGGGAGGCTTGCTTGCTTCAGTGACGGAGGAAGCCAGGTTCCCCGCCTGCCTTGCCGGCCTCTCAGCTGCTCTCTAAGAAACATTGTAACAAATATAGAAGGTAAACAAAACCCCAGAAACCTGCTTTCAGTCAGCCAGGCTTCAGCCAGCAGGACTGCAACATTGTTTCAAATACAGAAGGTAAACAAAGGCCAGAAACCTGCTTTCAGCAGCCGAGGCCTCAGAGCTGGAGCCAAGCCTCAGAGCTAAAGCTGGCCCAGAATAAAAAAAAAGGGAAAAAAGGAGCGGTTGGGAGCTTCAGTCACCCGCCAGCCTGAAAACGGCCCTCAGCCCCTCACCCAGACTGGCCAGGCACCCCAGTGGGGACCCCCACCCTGAAGGGGGTGTGACCAGCTGCAAACAGCCATCATCCCCTCACCCAGGCTGGCCAGGCACCCCAGTGGGGACCCCCACCCTGAAGGGTGTGTGACCAGCTGCAAACAGCCATCATCCCCTCATCCAGGCTGGCCAGGCACCCCAGTGGGGACCCCCACCCTGAAGGGGGTGTGACCAGCTGCAAACAGCCATCATCCCCTCATCCAGGCTGGCCAGGCACCCCAGTGGGGACCCCCACCCTGAAGGGGGTGTGACCAGCTGCAAACAGCCATCATCCCCTCATCCAGGCTGGCCAGGCACCCCAGTGGGGACCCCCACCCTGAAGGGGGTGTGACCAGCTGCAAACAGCCATTGACAGGGGGGAGCTCCCCAACCCCCTGATCGGCCCTGCTCTGTGTGTGACAGGGTACGGAGCCCCAACCCCCCTGATGGGCCCTGCTCTGTGCGTGACAGGGGGTGGCGCCGCAACCTCCCTAGCGACTCTGCCTTGAGTGTGACGGGGCGGTGCCCCAACCCCCCAATCGGCCGTACCCTGAGCGTGACTAGGGGTGGCATCGCAACCTCCCGATCCGCCCTGCTCTGTGCATGACGGGGCGGTGCCCCAACTCCCCAATTGGCCCTGCTCTGAGCTTGACCAGGGGCTGCACCTAGGGATTGGGTGTGCCCTCTGCCACCCGGGAGCAGGCCTAAGCCAGCAGGTCGTTATCTCCCGAGGGGTCCCAGACTGCGAGAGGGCACAGGCCGGGCTGAGAGACCCCCTCTCCCCCCCGAGTGCACAAATTTTTGTGCACCGGGCCTCTAATATGTAATAACACATAATAATGAGACTACAGAAATGTCACAGGCTTGACAAATTATTAAGGAATTGCCCTTCTGTTGGCTTGCAGGAGGTTTGAAATGGACCGGGAACCTAAGAGTGCCAGATACTGTGCTGAGTGTAATAGGCTGCATCCTGCTGAAGAAGGAGACTTTTGGGCAGAGTCAAGTATGTTGGGCCTCAAGATCACCTACTTTGCATTGATGGATGGAAAGGTGTATGACATCACAGGTACACTTCTGTTCTGTAGAAATACGGGCTCATATATGCTTATATGATGTATTAGCTAATTCTTTCTCATGTGTGCAGAGTGGGCTGGATGTCAGCGAGTAGGAATCTCCCCAGATACTCATAGAGTCCCCTATCACATCTCATTTGGTTCTCGGATACCAGGCACCAGTGGGCGACAGAGGTAGGTGGTATTTCTTTCAATAATCTATCCACTATTCTAGTTCTGACTATGGTGCTTAGGACACTTAGATGTCTCACCCTTTAAGAAGTTTGGTACCTGACTCTATATTTTTAACATAGTTACCTATGTTTGACTTTGAATCTCTCTTGCCTCATTATTCTTCTGTTTTCCTTTCAGAGCCACTCCAGATGCCCCTCCTGCTGACCTTCAGGATTTCTTGAACCGGATATTTCAAGTACCCCCGGGACAGATGTCCAATGGGAACTTCTTTGCAGCTCACCCTGGCCCTGGGGCCACCGGAGCTTCCAAGCCCAACAGCACAGTACCCAAGGGAGAAGCCAAACCGAAGAGGCGGAAGAAAGTGAGGAGGCCCTTCCAACGTTGACACTTGTTTTCTTCTTTCCTCAAATCAATGTCAGGGAGTCAAAAGGGCTGTGTACAGCATAGGATGGAGTTTGATTTATTTTTAAATATTTTAAAAAGGGAAACTTTTAAGCTCAAATTGTTCACTCAGTACTTGTAGGAAGCCCCAGAACCACTCTCCCTCCTCCACCGGTACCCAGGAACTGAATCTGGTCTTCTGACAATACCAAAGAAATAGGGGGTGGCTACAGCAAAGAACCTAGGGCATGGACCTGGGCTGGACAATATCTCCCAGAGGAGTGTGGGAACTGGGTATTTCCCTAGGGTCTGTATGCCTTTGTCTTGTCTTTTGCTTCTACAGCAGATGACTTTCCCTCCTCTTTTTAAACTATGAGTCTGTCTTATTTCTTGACCCAGTTCAGGGCTCCCTCCTGAATATACTAGTTAGCCCAATACTAGTTAAAAGACAGAACAAGAAAGCATGTAACTCTAATTATAGGAGATAAGAGTTCAGAGAGTGGGAACTCTGAATTTTTTCTGTCACCTTGTGGGTAACTTCCCAACTTCATGCTTGTTGCTGCAGGGATGGCCAAACTAATAATTTTAAAAAAATCAGACTCATGCCCTCTGCCCTTGGGTGAGGGGAAAGAATAAAGGGGTTCCTGGTAGGCCCCTTATGATCCAAGGGTTTGTATTTTTTTAAGTTTGTTGATATTTGTATGTACATAACTATTTAAAGCCAGGGGATTATCTTTCTATAAATATGTAACTGGCAACCTGTTTCTTCCTTCTCTTCTTTGCCTTTATAGATAGTGTCCTTTTTCTCATTTGAGAATCCTTTCTCGAAGTGTTAGCTGGGAGTGAAGGGCACCTCCTGAACCGAAGGAGAGGGGATAAAAAGTACCTTAGAAAAGTTTTGTGTATTAAGTCACTGTTCCATCTTTCTTCCCCAGCCTTATGAGGACATCTCCCTACCCCCCCTGCTGACCAAAGAGTAGCCATATCTGAAAAAATGACCTTTATTATGAGGGAAATACACAGCAAAACAGAGCTGGAGGTAGTGGGGGTGGAAGACATGGGAAAACCAAACAAGCTGCCCAAACATGGCCTCCTGTGGAGGAGAGTGATTTGTCCCTTACCTCATCCGCCTTTCCCGATTCAAAGAAGCCTGCTCCTAGCAGGGCTACTCCCAGGGAGCCCCATTTTCCAATCAGTTCTCATCCTGGGAGTTTTGGAACAGTTGTATAATTCTCAGGCTTCCAAGAAAAGGAAGACAGTATGGAGAAGGGAAAGATGTTACAGCCTTTTGTTCCAGTGTTGTCCCCAGTCCCATCCCTCAGTATTTATTGATGCCAAAGAGACGAACCCCATGGAATTGGGGCAATTTAGGCAGCAGTACGCTGAGCAATGAGGTTGTGTTGATGAGGAAGTGAGCAGCATCATACTTGGTGTAGAAGCTGGCTAGGAGGTAGCTGGGAAGAAAAGAAATAAGTTGAGTGAAGCTGGCCTTTCCAGTGACTTTCTCTTCTATTTTAAATGATCAGTTTTATTGCATGTAGTCCTAGGATATTTGAAAATATCCTAGGGGTCAGGGAGATAATCAGCACCTTTAACTGGAGATTTGTAAGTTAATTTGTGTGTTTAATAATTGTTAATGACATGTGGCAAATGACAGCTGAAGCAGTTTCAGCCTGTATCACTGTTAAGTCCTCTCTACTTCCACTCCCCAAAGCCAGTTTTCACAGATTTACATCAGTTCTGCCTTAACTTATTCACATCTTTTGGAAATGTAAAATCATTTGGTTTTACTTGGTTTTCTCAGCCCCATCTCCGTTCTCCTATCACCAAGGAGACAGCAAGGAATGCTTGATTATTGCTTTCTACTTTTTACTGCACTCCCTAGATTTAGACATAGTATACCATAATATCTTTAAAGGGTCTAAGTGATTAGTCTCCTTTTTTTAAGTTCCTCTGTGGGCCTCTGTACCTGGCATTTGGAGCATTTCCCATATCTCCCACTGGACTCACAGTACAATAGGAGAGATGCTGAGGAATTTGCGGGAAGAGGTAAATTGGAGCCCGTAGTCCATCTGTTCCCAGTGTGTCAGTAGCCGAGCCTTTCCTTGGTCAGGGGTCTCAAAGGGTGTCCCTTTCACCGTATGTAGGAAGACATACATGGCCTGGGAGGAGAAAAGGGAGCAGTTTGAAGGGGCAGCATATGGTCCTTTAGCCCAAAGATTAAGATCCCCAAAGGAAGGCATATCCCCAAATAATTGGAGATTTTATTTTGTTTGGGAAAGGCCTGGGGTGGGTATAGGGTGTGGTTTAGCGCTCACCAAGTTATGGATGACGTTGGTCAGGGTCCAGACAACAGGAATGCTGAAGAAGGGGATGCTGAGTAGCACCACATGCAGGAGTCCTATCAAGATGATGTAGGCCAGCCAGATGCCCCGGCTATTCATCACTCGAGTGTTGGGGTTTACTTCGCTGTGTGCTACTCCCACATTCATCCTACCATAGTGGCGGATCAGGCAGGAGTCCACCTCTATTTCCTCTCAACCCCTCTTTGATTTTTTTGCCCCCACATTGTCTCCTGAATAGCACAAATCCCCTGAACTGTATTGGGAATGAAAGAACATCCCCATCATGCACAAAGAAAAACTGAAGACTTGGGAAGTAAAATACTTAAAAGGCAAGAAGAGTCCTCTCTACATCTTAGAGACACATGGTAATCTTTGATTCTTCTACTTCAGCTTGAAGGAGTAAATCTAGGCTTGGGCACCTATTTCAAGGAGCAAGGGAAACAGAAGTATTTCACTTTATTTTCCTTAAGTTGTTAATAAGGAAGCCTGAAGAGGTTACATACACCCATAATTCCAGAAGCAGGTAATGGGAAACAAGGATTCACTAAGGAGGCACGAGGGGGTAAAGCTACTTCTAATCCTCACCTTTACTCGGGCTTGCCCGTCCTCTCATCCCCGTGGCATGTAAGCAGCCAACATCCCAATTCCTCCTCTCAAGCGTGGGGCATTGGGAGAATTTACCCCGGGTTTTGGGTTGAGCTAGGAAGGAACCTAAGTTGAGCGCCTCCAGTTGGAGCCCTAACCTCAAATCCAAAGGCGGCTCAGATCGTCTGAACTTGGCTCCTTAGAATCGTGCTAAAGTTGATGTCCAGTTAGGAAGCAGCTCTTGCCCGCCCCTCTCTACCTAAAATTCCCTAAACCCTAATACTGAACCTGCCCGATGCTTTTCCCAGCTTCCATCTCTCGTACGTCGGCTCCCCTCTGGTTCTCTCTCGGTGTTTAACTCACCGCCGCTCCAACCCCCGCCAACGCTTTCGCCTCCCATCACGGTTTGCCTCCCACCATTTTTGCCGAGCACCCCTTTCCAGTCTCCCGTAAATCCCTACCTGCAAGCTTCAGAAGCTGATCGGCGAGGGGCGCAGCTCTCCCTTCTATACCTGTGGTCTCCAGGAAGCAGCCGCCCACGCTTCTCTGCTGTCTCCCTATTGGTGGAACAGGTTAGCGCTGCCGCCATCCATTGGCTGGGGGGGTCTGCAATGAAGACGCCCAATTGGTCGCCGTTTCCGTCGTTTGGAAGGCGCAGAACCCGCCCCTCTCCCTGCCCCACCTTTTGAGAGGTGGGGAAAGCTGGCGGGAGGAGTGAGAGGACGGCAGCTATTGACTAATGGGAAGAGTTGATGGTGTGAGGTGATAGTAAGATTGGCAGTGATTGGTTGACCCTGCGCCTGGGCGGGAGCTGCTGGAAGCGGAGGCTGCGAGTGGGGGCCTAGTGGAGTGGAGGGGTAACAAGATGGCGGCAGAGACGGTGGAGCTGCATAAACTGAAGGTACTGTGAAGGAGAGCAGGAGCTGACTTAGACTTTTTCTGGGGACTGAATTCTGGGAGTGGCTTGTGCACTTTCCGAAGTGTTCTTCTTGTAGGCTTTTCCACTTTTTACCGGCTCCCTCCGTAGTACTTCCTCACTACGCCTGTCCTAATTTCCCATGCTCCTCACGGTTTTATTGTATCTGTATTGTTTTTTCGGCTCTCTTCTTCATTGTTGTATCGTCCGTCATTTCTCCACCGGGTTGTGTAAGTGCCTACAACCAATTCTCTCCTCATTTCTCGTCAGAGCTGCATTACGTCAGTGGTCCCACCTCTCTGCCCCATGCCGCACCGTGCACCCCTTTTTCTTCCCTGGGTTGAAGCTTTCCTCTCCATTGTCCCAAGCTGCTTCCCGTTAGGATATGTTGGCATCTTTATGTATTCCTACCTATTTAGGTCTCAAACGTGATCCAGGAAAATCCACTTTTTTTTTAGATGGGGTTACGCCCCCCGGGGGGGCGGCGGCTTTGAAACCTGAGGAGGGGCTTAGAATACTGGTCTCCCCATAGAAACCTGGGGTTTAGGAGATCTTTAGAGTTAGAAAAGGCACAGGTAGCTCGGATTTAAAAGTTTCTCTCACGTGGTTCTCCCCCGGCCAGCAACCCCCCTCCCTGCTCCCTACCTACTGCCAGACAGACAACTCGCTTGTAGCTGTAATGTTTTGGAAAAACATTTTCAAGGTTAGGGCTATCTCTGTCCCATTTCATGTCGCGGATGGACCCTGCATCTCTTGGTATCACCACTTGGTGACACTCTCAATCACCTGTTCTAAGATGTGCCTTGGCAATCTTGGTAGTCTTCTCGCGTTTATTTTCCTGGAAGAAAAGAGTAATTTCTTTTAGGGTAAATTATGAGAATATCTTGATTAGTTGACCGTTTGTGGTTTCGCTAGTAGTTTTTCCATTACATGTTTTGGTCACATCATCCTGGGAATCTTGGACAAACCAGACTGACTTAGCTGAAAACTAATCCTTTAAAGCTTGTTTAGCTAATAAACAAACAAAAGTAAGGAGAGTAAGGGTAGGGAGAGGTCCTTTTAGTCACTTTTTAGTTGACATTGATTAGCTTTTTTGTGTGAAAGCTGATAGATTTCTTACTCTTGGATTCTGAACTGTACTAGTGGGTCTTTGTGTTATTCTGGAGTTACTATTAACTTGGTACTGAAGTGTGTAGATTATAGCTGTGGTTTCATATTCCCACAAGTAAGACAAATTGGGCAACCACTTCCATTATATGTACACTTATGTAAATTATGGTACCATACTGTTATGTATGTTATAAAACACAGAAAAGGAATGTTTCAATAAATGAGATAAAAGGAAATATGAATAGAAGGTAAAATATTTTCTTCCTATTAGTCCCATTTTGAAACCCCTGGAGTAAGGCACCAGCCTTGTGACTTGCCTTCATGGATTTGGTTTTGTGTATGGAGTTCCTCCTTCCATAGAAGCTGTATTTTTTGGACCATATTAACTTTTATTTTGATTGGATAATGTCCTCTGACCTGATTTCAGGTATTAAGAGATCATGAGGCACCCCTGACAGCCTAAAAAGTAAAAAGGATTCACTCTTTTAATCACATTTGCTTGTCTTTGCTTTTTCTCTAGAGCACTTCTTAACCTTTTGGAGGTCACAGATATCTTTGAAACTCTGATGAAAGGTATGGACCCTCTCCCCAGAAAAAGGCATGTACACATACTTTGCATGCGATTTGAGGGGCTTCATAAAATTACCATGTAGCCCTGAGGAGTCCATGGACCTCTGGTTAAGAACCCATGCCTTTAATTCTGACTTCTAGGACAGTTAATGTTTGGTTCCACTGTTGATCTTGATGGAGTAATCCTGACTTGGGTTGACTTAGGGCAGTGGTCGGCAAACTCATTAGTCAA